ACAACCATACTTTAACACCTCCTGCATTCTCTGACTTAGGGCATGTTCAATGCTTGTTTTTTTATTCCAACATTCATATTCACTCATGTAGATAGAGATGTCTTAGGATCCCTCCGACCATTTTACAGAGTAGGAAACTGTGGCTCACCAGATGGCGCTAATGTTCCCCTCAGCTTGACTAAGCATTAAACTTGAGGCCCCAGGCCTCCCTGTTCTTAGAGCACTTACTTTCAAAAATTGCAGTTGTGAATTATTTCTTTATCTCATTGAGATATCAAGTTCATCCCAAACTCTTTCCAGTTTTAAAACCCAGGGGGGAAAAAAAAAACTTTCTCAAAGACTTGGAAATCATCCCTTTTCAACAGAGTCATCAAGAAAGATAGTGCACCTCTGTCGCAGTCTCTGTGGGGAAGTCAGACACCATTGGCTTCTCACCTCCACTGTTCTTCCCTCTGAAGCAAAAACACCCAGTAATTTTCCACCAGCTGTTGACCCCTATGGCAATAGTTTTGAATAATGTCTTCCTTGCCTGTTCAACTCCATCCGGTGAAGTTTTCCTTTGATATGAATCAAGGAGTGATTCATATAAGAACAGTCAGTAAGTGATTGCCAGGGCTTAGACTCAAATTTGCAGTCACTGGCTACAAATCTAATACTTTCTTTTATGGCCTCACTTCCACTCATACTCATTTGCTATTGATATTTATGCCTCTTTCTTTTTCTCTCTGGTCTAAACATTAGAGGGGTTTTGTTTGTGAACTTCTCATTATTTTTACTCAGCTTGCAAAACTAAACCAATGAGCCTGGTGGTCCAGAGCTTCAGTCATTAATTGTATAAGAGAGATTTGGCTTTAGGCCCTTGGAGGCTGTTAAGGTGTCTCAGAGGATTGTTTAGTTTAATTCTCTTGAAAATGCCCAAAGCCTTTCATTTAAAGCAACAGTTTGGGCTCTGAGATATTTTTAATTAAAAGTGCATGATCTGAAGCCTCAGCCTTTGGCCTCTTATTTATCATGAAATTCTCTGCAGTTATTGCAGCAGTGGTCACTAGAATAAATTTTTCTCCTTTCCTCCACAGGATGGCAGTATAAGTTAATGTTAAACCTCGCCATACACTGCCTTTCAAAATCCCAGAGTGGGGTTTTGTTCAGAATTGGCCACTGAACTCTATTTCCCATGTGCCTACAGCCTCCTATAACTCCAGCCTTATACATTTCTCACTTCACCCTTTAGCGAGCCAAACAAAGGGAGTCCCTTCAGTTTAAAAAGGATGTCGATGAATGAAAACCCATACAATACAACAGTTTCATTATAAAAGACCCCCAGACAGGAGGCCAGAGTCCAGCTGCCCACAAAACCACATGCGACTAACTCCTAGTTCAGGGTTGCTGAGTAGTTGCATATAAATAGCAGCAGCGGTCAGTTATACATTGTCAGCAATCTTGACCTAATCACTGTCAATCAATAAAGTCATTGAAGTATAATAGCCTCATTGGCAGTGGACTGGCACATGTCCAGCCTAGAAAGAAATAATCTTCATGAGTAGTTAGATTGTAATTATTTAATCAGAGAAGGGTGGCTGCAAACAGATCCACTATCAAAAGAAATGACTACAAAGCCATGCTTGAAACATCTTTCCTGTACTCCAGAAAAATGAAGGAGACAAATCAAATCTTTCCAAAATTTGGAAAATTGGATATGACTTATTAAAGACTCTAAATAAAAAGTGAAAAACAAGGATATCCCGTGAACAAATAATTAGAATAGCATTACTACCTAAGAGATTTTGCTCTTTCTTCTTATCTCTTTAAGTAGATGATCTTCTAAAGTATACATAGATCAAATATTACATCCTTTAGGGGAAAGCATCTACTCTTCCTTGTTTCTTCAATGCTTACAGTAATGTGGCTTTCAAAATTGAGTGTTAACCAAGAAAAAGGTAGGCCACAACTACAAATATTTTCTAAGACTTTATTTGTTCTCTGTAGTAGAGACATCTTCTTTGCTCATATGCCACTTCCTTTAATGAAACTGTACTATAAATTATTTAATAACCAATGCCATCTCTTACCCTTTTTCATCTTCCCTAGTGCTTAGTCCCGGTTCATGACACTCCTTCCTTTCTAAATGTGCATTAATTAAATTCTTTCTAATGAACATAGCCTTGTAAAGACAAGCTACTGGAGATCTCTACCTAAATAGAGAGCTAACATTTACAAGAGTAAACCTTATCAAGGCCAAACTATATATCAGCACTCTGCAGAGTCACATGAACAGATGTTTTCAACAATATAAAAAAATAATTATTGAAAAAAATCTCCTAAGATTACTATGGAAAGACCTAGAAATGCACGAGTGTGCGTACACACACACACACACACACAAACACACACACACACAGGCACACACACACAGAGTAATGTTAAACTTTAGCTGTAGTCTTTCTTTCAGAAAATAGAGGAAAATCATCATGGTATTATATAATAGAAGCAATTTTCCAAACACTGCTTTCCAAATCTCACATGTGTGTGTTCATAGGCCTGAGAAAAATGATGTATTTTTGAATGCAACTGGAGAGATTTAACAAAGAAAGGCTTTTCTGGTACCCATGGGGGGAAATCAGTGTTAGACTGTTAGCACACACATCTAAAAGTTCAATGAACTTCAGTTTGTTGCTATGCCAACCAGCAGAAGACCTGTCCAGATATGAATTGATCACACAAATAAAATCTCCCCAAAGATGATGCTTGTTTGGCTTAAGGGCATAGTCTTTGTAACAACCCTTGACAAATCATAGGTTTTTCGGCCTGGAGGATTTATTTGGACTACTTTCCAAATTTCCTCAGTGTACTATTAAAATACCTTAATTTTTTTCCATAGGAAATTGAGTATTTGCTTCCCAGGGGAAATACCTTTCCTTTTCTTTTTTCTTTTTTTTTTTTTTTTTTTGTCTTTTACCCAAGTATCAAAGTACTAAATAGAGAGTGTGGCATATAGTTCCTGATTATTAGAAAGAAAGGGTTGCTAGAACTAGAAATACAAATCTTGGGAAATGTTTTGTATTTTGTTATCATCTCGTGATACAAAGATGAGTATTATCTTCATTTCTTAGTGACACATCTCCTTCACCCTGCCATGGATGGGATCCCTAATCAATCTGTGTAGAAGTCCCTGATGAGCATCTTTTGTAAAACTTTTTGTAGAGTTTGTTTTGAGCTATTGTGTGTTCCACATCCACAGAGTGAACTAATTGGAGACTAAATAAATAGTCATTTTGGGTAGCAAGGCAATTTCCATCAACTTCTCAGCAGCCGGAGGAGAGAACAAAAAGATGCTCTCATATTTTTTGTATGTACATCCCAGTATTGTTCTCTTAAAAACTTACTTTTGATTTTTTTTTAACTGTGAGACCTCTCTTCAGGCATCTGGGATGTGTCTAATCTTAGGAATTATTAGAAATATTCTGGAAATTATGATTGCAGATATTAGACATGTAATTTGAATTGGCTCTTTAAAACATACTTAACAACACAAGCCCAAGAAACAGCCAGGAAAGATTCAGTTTGCTTGTTTTTGTGATATAATCTGTAGACATACTTGTGTAGTCTTCACTTCACCTTCTGTATCCACACTTTATATTAGCTAATCTTTCCTTTGACCTTTTTGAAAAAACCTCTTTTGTTGGAGTCAATAAAGGGACCCAATGAGGTATAAAGTGCAGGTTACAGGTAGTAGGTACTTTAAAGTTGAGTCTCAGAATTAAAATTAAGAAATGCATCCTTGACAAAAACTCTAAAATAAATTCTAGGGAAAGAATATTGATTATCTGAAATATTTTCAATGAAATTCATATTCAGCCAATGATAATAAGTAAACCAAAACTCCAAAGTGAATACAAACATCCCAGTGCTTTTTGGCTTTAATCTTGAAACTCACCTTTACTTTCCAGGTAAATAAGAAACAAAGGAGTACCTACCTTTATTTTGATTGTTGTTTGTTATTGGTCATCTAAAGGATTATATCTTCAAAAATAAAATAATGAGACTTTTCTTCTTTGTTTCCTATCCCACAAATAGTAATACAGAATCTTGCAGCCAGAACTGAACCGATCCAAGTTTATATTCCAACACAAATTTATATTCCCTGGGACTTAGAAATACAGAAACTTCCTATTTTCTGTTTTTGAGTAATGTTTTAGATCCAAAGACTGATTTGAAGAGGAGGGAAAGATAAATATCTACATCAGATATTCAAAGAGTTATATATTCTCATAAAGAACTTGATAAAATTGACAATTCTTAGCTGGCTCTCTCTGCTGTATTCTAAACTAGCATTGAGCCATTGAATGAGAGAAATCTTGAGTTCAAAGCTGTAGTTCAAAAGTGTTACCAAATAATATGCCAAGTGTTAAAAAAAAAAAATGATCTCCTTTGTGCTTGTTGAAGGAGTTGGTAGGAACCAGTGGTGATATGGTAGCAGTGGCCAAGACCAGGGCAGATGGATTCTGTGGTCATGTTCCTAAAAGGGCTAAAAAGCAGAACTACGTGAAGATACTCCTCATGCAGTGTGGATGCTTTATATTATTTCCAATACCTCATGGGCTGGGATCGAGAAGCAAATTTCATAATTAAGTGTTATCTTTAAGAGAAAAATGAGCATTCATTTATGTCATAATGCCCTTCACCTAGCCCAGTGGAATATGTTGGCAAGGTGAAAGGAGGATTTCATAAAAAACGTCATTTGAGTCTGGAGACATCAGGCTGGATAATACATGGAAACTCCGGAATAGGTGAAAGCTGTTGGGGGTTGGGGGGTGGGGAGAGTTAAAGAGAGAGCAATCACATTAACAGCCACTTTGGTTTCCCAACTGCTCTGTAAGAACTTAAGGTTTCTGCAGAGATCATCTCTGTAATCTGTGGTGGAAATTTGTGGAGAGTGATGAAGAAAAGAGGAACTATTCCTCCACCTTCATTTTAATAAGAGCAGCTTTGTTTTTTTTTACCTGTCTTCAATGGGATTCTGTGACTCTCATTTGAAGAATCATATCTATTGAAAGGAAAAAAAAAAAAAGAATTGTCAACAGAAATCGGTTATACACTGGGGAGTTCTAAAAGAATGTTTGCATCTTGTTAAGTCAGTGAAATAATAACATGTGAATCTTCATGCTTTAATTTTCTACAATAGTTTATGTAGTATAGTCCTCACTCAACAATATCATGTCTCTTGGGAATCTCTATAAATGCAAACTCTTGGGCCTTGCACCAGACTTATCTGAAGCAGAATCTCTGAGGGTGGGGATCAACAGTTTGCATTTTAACAGGACCTAAGTTGATTCCGATGTGTGTTCAAGTTTAAGAACAACTTTCCTAGAACCTACTAGATTACCAAGTACATGGAATGAGGTAAAATGAAAAGAAAGACCAATGGAGGTTCTAAGGAAAATCTCCTCCAAGTATTGCAACTTAGTCTGCTCCAGTCCAAATTGTCAGCACAGAATACTAATTTACAGTGTCAGGGACAGAAAAAAAAAAAAATTGCCACCATCACTCCTATTTTTCAAGCCCCATAAATATAAGTCAAAATAAATCACTACTCTAACAACTTAAAGCCACTGAATCACCCCATTCCGACATAACCTCAGCCCCAAATTGTGTATTTAAAAATAAATGGAGCAAGTTAGGAGTCAATGATAACGTCTGCAACATATTATAATTTCCTGGATGAACGCAATCCTGTATTTTTATTGTGTCTAAAGGGTCCATTTTTATAAAGTAATCATTGCTTATAAATTCCACCAAATGATGCACACCTCAGAATAGTGCTCAAGGAAGTTGTAGTCAGAGGGAATGAGGTCAGGTGAGAGGACATTGGTTGCTTTCCTAGAACCGGGCATCTGCCGAAGGGGCGGCCTTCCTGCAAGGATGACACATCTGTGGGAGATCATGCTGAGAGATAGATTCCCTAGGAGTTGCCTTTGGACTTGCTCAAGTCTAAACCTAGGCGCTTTTCCGCGTTTTATTCAATGATGTTTCGCCACTAGATGGCTCCAGAGTGTCTATCCTGCACAGGATAGATCAGGGATTTGAAAATTGGAGTGTACTTTATGAGTTGTCCCAACCATCTTCTTCCACGATTGACTCCCACTCTACTAAAAGCTATGTCTCATTTTCTCTCCTTCATCTTCCAATAGCGGAATAGTGATGGTGTCAACAACAGGGGGAAAAAAAATAAGGCTCAGGTCAGCAGAGTGCTGTGTCTTCTCTACACTCCAAACTTTAAAGCCCAGCTTCTAGCAGGTGATGTGTGTATGGGGAAAATGGGAAGCTACATTCTGTCCTTAGCTTTCAAAGCATTTCTTGGCTTAGGTGGTTGAGTATTATCAGGAAATTCGACAGCACACAGAGAAGTTAATGTTCCCCAAGCCTTAACTCTTACTTAAGCAGGAAGCTTATTGATGAATTGTTAAGCAGTATTTTTATTTTCATTTCGTTTTTAAAATGATTTTGTAGAGCTGTTGGTTAACTTTGAAATTCAAGGTTCTGTTTCTTTGCTCTGATGGAGAAGTTATTCTTTTTATCATTTTGTTCTTAATCTGTGGAATGAACTCAGTTTCTTCTAGGCTCAGTTTTCTCTTCTAAATAAATCTGAGTTGATTAGTCTCTGAGATGGGCATTTTTAGCAAAATCTCCCAGTGTGATAATGCATTATTTCCCAAGTAGGTATTTGAGTCATATTTAAAGCAGCTGTAGAGTACAATTACTCCTTCTGTTAGTCAGTTTTACATTATTATAACAAAAAATTCCTGAGATAGTCAACTCCAAAAAAGAGGAAAGGTTTATTTTGGCTTACAGTTTTAGAGGTTTTAGTCCATGACTGGTTAGCTCTGTTGTTTTTTTGTCCTTTTAGTGAGGCAGTACATCAGGGCAGGGAGCATACTGCTGTAACCAGCTGCTCACCTCCTGACAACTGAGAAGCAAAGAGAGAGAAAAGCTTGAGTTCCCACTATCCCCTTCAAGGACACAACTTCAATCATCTAAGATCTCTTACTAGGCCCCATCTCTTAAAGGCTCCACTAGAGCCAAGGGTTGGAGCTCAAACTTTACCACCTCTGGGGGGAGACTTATCCAAATTAGAGCAACTCTCCAGATGCCTGGAGAAAGAGAACTTGGACAAGAAACAAAGACCTGAGTTTAGAAGGAAGAGGGTTGAAAAATCATTGCATGTCAGAGGAGGAGGTTTACCGTGGCAAATCAAGCCATCAGTAATTTGAACACACTGTAATAATAAGCAGAGGAAGTCAGTCTGAAGAGAAGAGAATGAAATGTGTATAAAGAAAGTATATGGGAGGAATTTTAGACTCAGAAAGATTCATTTTGGGAATCTGAGAATTTTCCATTCCCTATGTGCCCTGCTTATATTTCCTTTGATCACATCCCACGTGTGGTTCTCTGAGTCCTTTCAATCACTCCTTTCCTACCTTCTTACATTTTCCTTGAGATTGTTGTCAAGGATTCCTGAACATGTTCTTTACTCCCAATGAACTGAAATCTAGAAGACATCATTCATAGGAGTCAACCCAACATACTAAATTCCTGAGAGTTGAATTTATGCAATAGGGGTATTTCTAGATTAAAATAACACTAAAACTTGTTGTGAAAGAGAGTTTTAAAATTTTCCTTGTCTCTTAGTGTTGAATTGATATGATTCACCTGTCAACAGGAAATCTAACCCCTTTCCCAACTTCTGTCAGTGCCTTATGAAAAGAGAAGAAGTAACTAGCAATCATAAGTTATTAGTTAAGGTAAGAAGTAACAAGTAAAAATAAGAAGCAACTAATAACCATCATTTGTTGGTTCTTTATCACCATTGTCTCTTGATAGGATGACCTGGATTCTTTTTGTTGCTACTTTCCACCCTCCCATAAGAATAAAAATTAAGCAGAAATTTTATTTTTTACACTTATGTGAAACATCTTTCCCATACAAAAAATAAAATAAAATAACATCCTTAACATGGCCTTCAGACCCTTCTTCTGGGTTTTGCCCACATTTATAATCTCCCTTTGTAGACAAATCATTGTCCTTCCAATTTCTGGACCTTCAGATGTTCTTTTCCAACTTCTTTCTAACTCTCTCACTCATCATCTTTTATCTCAAATGTTAATTCCCTAGTGAAGAAATTCATAAACTCATTCAAAAAAGTTCTTTTTTTCATAGTGCATTGTTTTCTGCATACCACTTATCTCGCTGTGAAGAATTTATTTCCTTGTGGGTTGTCATATATTTTCTCTTCAGACTGAATATTTTAGACAAGCAGCAATTTTTTAGTGTTTTTGCTCACTATTGCATGCCCAGTTGCAGAAGTTTAGTGCATCTCAAATGAATGAAACAAATGAATGAATGAATGAATGAATGAATCTGAGTACTTTATGAAAATAAATCTTGAGCCCTGTAACCTATTCTGTGGAGATTTTCTGTCGTTCTGCTTGATAATTCAATTTAATTTTCTTTTATGCATATATATCCTTTTTTGAGAATGAGAGGCTGGTACGATGTGTCTAGTTAGCATTGTTTAGTTCTTGGAAAATCTTATATTTTGGAAGCAAAGATAAAAACCCATTCAATCTGCAGAATGTTCTATTATATTCAACAATCTCAAGGACACATTTAGTTTTTGTGAATAGAAGAACATTTATATTTGAAAGATGACATGGGCATAAATACATGACAGAAATAGAATTGGAGGGTATAGGCAGAGGTGGTAGAAATTCTAGACTATTCTAAGCTCTTAGGGGACAATTAACCCTTATCAAGTAAATTTAAATACACTTTTCATTCTTTCTACTTCTTGGATACTCTTGTATTTTTCCAGTAACTACCATAATAAAATATGACCACTAGAAGGATTTTCAAAGCATGTGAAAAGCAGAATAGTTATTGTTGGTTTATAAGAATCAAAAAATATTTCCACTATATTTCTTTGTAGGTATGAAAAACTTCAAACACATTCAAACAGCTTTTAAAAAAACTGGGAAAAAAAATCTGGGTGTGGTGGTGCATGTCTGTAATCCCAAAGACTCTGGAGGCCGAGGCAGGAGGATGGTGAGTTCAAAACCAGCCTCAGCAAAAGTGAAGTGCTAAACAACTCAGTGAGACCCTGTCTCTAAATAAAATACAAAATAGGGCTGGGGATGTGGCTCAGTGGTCATGTGCCCTGAGTTCAATCCCCAATACCGGAAAAAAAAAAAAAAGAAAAGAAAAATTGGAAAAAACGACATGGACAAGGAGGAGGAAACTTCTTGCCTGTTGTGGTACACAGCTTTGAGTTGCCATGACTAATATACCTGACACGGAGAATTTAAAGGAGAAAAATGTATATTTGCTTATGGTTTCAGAAGTTCAGTCCAAGGCTAGTTTACTCTTTGATTTGGGCTGAAAGTGAGACACAATATCATGGTGGAAGGGTGTGGCAGAGGAAAGCATGTCAGGATATGGCAGCCAGAGAGCAGAAAGAACTTGAGTGCAAGGAGTTACAGATAATATACTTTTCAAAGACATGTCCCCCCTCTGGTGACCCGCTTCCTCCAGCCATATCCTACCTGCCTACAGTTAACACCCATTAATCCATTCAAACTATTAATCAAATGGATTAACCCACTGATTAAGTTACCCTTCTCATAATCTGATCATTTCACCTCTGAACCTTTCTTCTTTGTCTTAAGAACACATGAGCTTTTGGGGGTCACCTCATCCAAACTATAACATTCTGCTTTTGAATGATCTTTCCTGATTGGATCATATATAATTTAGCCAGTTAAGAAAAAAAAATTCTGAATTTATTTTTCATGTTGTTTTCTCTTTATTCCATTTTGATGTACTGAAATTTATTTGTAATTATCAGCAAAAATTATAGGTCTGCAAATATTTACTCCCCTGAGTATCCTCAATATTCAAATTTCACCTAAAAATTCTCCTTCTTTCTCATTATTTAATTTGTTTTTGTTTGTTTGTTTGTTTGATTCAGTCTCAAAAGTGAATACCATTTCT